ACTTTTATCTGCATAATCTCTTTGATCCAGCTACAAAGGAGAATAAGCCTGCTTATTCAAGCTTTTAAGGAACAAATAAAGTGAATTTAGCTGACTGCAATTCCATATCTTAAGCTCCCTAGCTTTGTCCCAAATCAGTCCACATTTATTGTATCAAGTATGTATCCCCTAAATTCCCATCCTATCCTGAAAAAAATACTAAAAGAGCCATCTTACACTTATTTACTTCTTTTTAAAGATTTATACTATGCTTATCTCTAGGAGTTTCAAGTGAGCTTGCAAAAAAAAATACTCTTCCAATTTACAACACAATAGAAAATTTATGAGCAAGATAAAATCACAAGCCAACAGTAATCTAAATATAATTTTTAAACAACGACCAATTAAAATGAAAGTAGTTGATTCAAATTACAAATTGAATGGCTTCCTAATGAGGAAGTCAGACAGGAGTCCTGGGGTGGGGAAGTGCAGAGATTTTTGGAGTAGCCTTACAAAACAATATTTTTCTCTGTTCCTCCTCTGGGCATAGTTTTCTAACAAGCTGGAAAACATTATAGCTACACAAAGACCTAAATTCATTGGAGAAAGAATAGGAGAAATTTATCAGTTAATACTCATTTACATAAACTACTACTAAAATAAGTTACAACCATAAAATACAAAAAAAAAGGCTGTGGATTTTGAGAAAGTGAGTTTTCATTTATGTAAAAAGTCATCTTTTCCAACCGGGTGTCTTCCAGATTGGCCCTGTTGGCTGGAGAACTTCTCAAGCTGCAGTCCCTGCATTTAAGCCAGGATTGATTGAAACTTTGCTAAAGAAAAAAACCAGATGTGATAGTTTTATTAAACTTCACTAATTTGTATATAAGTTCATTGTTGCAATGAAACAATAGCTAAGTTGTAGGAACATGCTTCAATGTCCAGAGTATTGGCAATATTAGAACACTCTTATTTGTATTTTATTCATCCCTTTTTTCCTGTTTGCTTATACTTCTAAGTAATTAATTAAAAAAAGAAAATAAATAGAAATGAAATATAAAAATATATTTTTAACAGAAGAAAAAAAAATTACATGGTTATGTTTTCCCCCATCCCTCTAACAAGCTAAACACAATTTTAAAAATGCCAATTTCGGACCATATGATTAGCATATAAAACTATCCATATACTTCCATTGCTGCCCTGCTTGCTGTATTTGATCCTGTACAGTGATAATGCAAGATTTTTCTGTGTAAGTGTCTTACTTTTGAAATTCCCACCTTCAGAACCTTAGTTATTATTTAGGAAGATAATTAACTTCCTTTTTATCATTTTTAAATGCTTTCAGGTAGTCTGCTTACTATTTGCCATACACTATTTGGTGTGTGTGTGTGTGTGTGTGTGTGTGTGTAAAAGGCTTCTATGTATAGTTTTATGGACATCTGCAGATAGACACAAGCTATTTCTTAGGAAAAACTAAATCAAATTTTAAAATATCAATCATACTTTTTAAAGGTATCAAGTTGATGGCAATTATTAGATAGTTTTATACTGTGCACAGTATTTGTCTTAAATCTTCATTTCGGAATCCAGTACAATATTTCTAGATGCCCAGAAAGCTGCGATTTACCAAGTCTAGATTTATCTGCCAAAAATGACAGCATTTAATTATTCTTCAGCCACACAGACATATTCAATATTCAACAGCTGCTGTTTGGAAAGCACAAGTAGTTCTACACAATGATATACTATTATCCTTCTAGTGGTTAATCAAACATGTGTTTAATTGACTGACTGAACTCTGAAGCCTTATTTTTCATATAACTTCTTTCAAGAACTGCTAGCAGCTTATTTTTTAAAGAGGCATTCCCGTTAATTGCATTCATAGGAGATGCCTTTTCTAAGATGATGACATGCATATTATTTAAAGATGAGCTGCATATACTTTTACTTCATAATTGTTTATTCACTGCAATTTTATTTAGATCTGATAAAATAAAAACAAATAATTTAAGAAAATATAACAGAACTTGTTGTAAAATCATGCCTCAGAGAATTAAGTTCCATTTGATTTTGCAAAACTTCCCCTACAGTAACATTTCTGCTGTGCTGTGCTACCAAACTTCAGTACAGGAAACAAACATACTACAAGAAATGCAGAAGAGGAAAAGAAGTCTGAACAAGTTGGTCATTTTCCAGTGAAATTCTAGAATTCTTCCTTTCCTCTAACAATGCTTTCTTACAGAGAAAAACAGAGAACACAGGATTCTGGCAGGAGGAGGAAGTCAAAATCTGCCAAATCATCAACCAATTGACAACTGCTTCTGTACTGTTTTCACATTTGCTTTCAAGAACTATTTAAGCTGTCAGGAAAATGGATCATAAGTATTTTAAATTAGTAAAGTTTCCTATATAAAAACATACCTTTATAGAATTGACTAGAATAACATTTTATCTCCACTTTAAAAGTTAAAAAATACGTTCATTCTATTCTAAACTATCTTGTGTTTATTTCTGTATGTTCTTTCAACATGGAAGCTACATTTATAACTCTGTAAAGTAAGATGGGCAAAATGAGCAATGAGTCAAAATTAATTGAGAATGGATTAAAGCATGACATCATAACTGGTTTTCAAATAGATCAGCATTACAATAATTTTGTGTCAGGGCAGAATCCATTAAGAATATACATTCTAAAGAGACCAATTACTTTTCAGTATCCCATCTTACTCAGAATTAGGGCAATCAAGAACCAATGTGGGATAATTAATTCAAATTTAGAAACCTTTTCACTTATCTCGCCCAAAATACTTTCTTACAGCTCAAATTAACCAACAGGAGATGAGCATAAAGGTGCAATTTCTGTATTGCGGTACAAAATATCAAGCAATCACATTAAGCCAAATACTTTATTGGGCTGGGCATTCATGTTATGTGAATTTAATAACTATTTTATTAACCTGGATTTAGGTTTAAGCATCTTGGCTGGCTCCCTCGGTCAAGAAATGGAGATGCGCACCAAGACATGACTGATAGGGAAATCTTTACCTTTTTATAATTATATTATTATATTATATTATATTATATTATATTATATTATATTATATTATATTATATTATATTATATTAATTATATTAATTATATTATATTATATTATATTATATTATATTATATTATATTAGAGTAGAGTAGAGTAGAGTATTAGTAGAGTAGAGTAGAGTAGAGTAGAGTAAAGTAGAGTAGAGTACAATACAATACAACCTTTAGGCCAACAACCCCTTACTGCTTCTTTCGTAGATAACTAGGTTCACTAGATTCACATCTAAGGTTATTTTGATTTTAGCTTAAAATGTGGCTTGTAAATTGTGATTTAGGCTTATTCAGCTGAATCTGGCCACTATTTGTTCAACAAATTTTCATTAAAACTGTGACATAGCATAACATAGAAACCATGACATAATGTGATATGTGAATTCAGCCTATGCTGTATAACCATTTAAAACCTTGGATCTTGAAATTCCATCATCAGCCTATCCTTTTGGGGACTTCAAAGAGGAAACAATAATCATATAACAAACATTAGAAAAGGATGAAAGTTTCATAACCTTTGCTGCTTCATAGAGTACAGTGGAATCTAAAACATGTATAAATGTGAGATCACTGATATGATGGTTGAGATCAAGGGAAAAGTTTCTGCCTGCAACTATGGAGAATCCATGTAACTAACAGGGAGGGCCAAACAGTAAGGTCATCATTTTATAAGCAGAAAGTTCATATTTAATCCCCAATAATTTCAGGCAAAACCAGGAAAGACTTGGCTTGTTTGGGACATTGGTGACCCATATTCCACCACTGAAAATTAGGAATGAGAAATCTATGGGTTCCCAGATATTGTTGGATTAATCTGACTACTATTCCCTCCATATAGCTTAGAAGAAGTCCTAGATTTAGCTAAAATTGCTGGCAGTGCCACTTTAATAATTAGGTAAAAGATAATGGGAAAGAAAGCAGAGAAACTAAAGGGCATTTGTGTCAGTCAATTGAAGCAAACCTGAGCTAAATATACTAAGAATCTGGATCACTGTTAAACAGTTTTCTTAGGGAAGGGCTTTCCTAGCAAAAAAAAAAATAGTTCTGCATTCTCTCAATATCAGAGCCAGTTTGGTGCAGTGGTTATGGTATCAGTTTAAAAACTGCAGGACCCTAAGTTCAAGTCCCACCTTAGATACAAAGCCAACTGGATGGACCTTGGGCCAGTCACTCATTCTTAGCCCTAAGAAACAGGGAATGCCAAACTACTTCTGGAAGAAACCTTGCCAAAAAAACCCGTAGCTAGAAGTCAAAAACCGACTCTAAGGCAGATAGAAACTCTAAAATTCAACACATCACTGCCAGCCAATATTCAGCTTCACTAATCAATCACTGGAGTTAAATGAAGCAAATTAAGTTCCTTAGTGGGCTGCAAAAAATCGACAGATCTTTCAGTACAATTGTAGGCATAGCCCACTTCCAGATAAGGCTGGGCAGCAGGGGAGCTATAATCCAACCTGACAGCATCACACCGAGAAGCAAGGTGTGTTAAAACATCTTATTTCAGAAAAATACACTGATTTTTTTGCGCCTCCTCTCTCCCAACCCTTCCTCCTCCCCACTATCCGAGACCGACCCTCTTTACTCCAGGCTTTTCTAGCCTGGCGGCGTTATACTACACCTCTCATCTTCCTCCGCCGGGAAAGCCAAAAGATCACTTTAATTACGAGCGATGGGAGTTGTAGTCCGACTGGGAAGTCAGGCTGGGAAAGATTATTCGATTCTCTTTCCCTGCCAGGTAACGCCCCCTGGTTCACCCAAAAATACAGATGACCCCTGTCGATAAGGCGCGTTCAGCCCCTCCCCTTCTTTTTCGGTCGTTTCTCGCCAGACCCCGAAGGAATCGCTCCACCCCATATAAAATCGCCTCAGGGCAAATCCACTCTCCCGCTCAAGTTGCAGCTACTGCCGCTTCCCCCACCTCACTTACCTTCCGCCATGTTGGCCTCCGCCGTTTCTCGGACAGAGTTCTCGCGATATCTGAGCTTGTGGGCGGAGTGGCGGCGGCCAAGGAGCGAAGGCGTCAAACAATCGAGTGCGCAAGCGCATCCAGAGTCAACTCTCTGCCGACTCGAGAACTCCCTTTGTATTTAGCGGGCTGCTCCTCCTCTTAGGTTTACTTTTTATTTTTATTTTCTTTTGAATGGCTCTAACGCCGTTTTCTAAATCTTATAACTGTTAGAAGCCGAAGGCAAAGTATGTTTAAGCATACATGGAGTTCACCTTGCTAAATGAAACGGGATTATTTGTCCTTAGGACAAAATATTTTTTTTGAGCGCGTGCTGAATTTTCTTTTATAATCTTTTTTCTTAAGCAGAACGAAGACTTAAGAACCTTAGTGATAGTGCTTCTGAGGCTTTTTATTAAGATCAACATAATTAATTTAAGCCTCTGTCTTAGCATTTCTGGCATTTTTCTTTTTTACCGTTATATTTTATTTTTACATTCTTAAGGACTACAAGACAACTGCAACAGTCCAACTTTGTTTTCCCTAACGAGTATTTTTCTAAACGAAAGAGCAAAGGATCTCTGAACAAATGCAGCTTTTTTCCATTTTCTACCGTTAGAATTTTTCTGATGAGCAATGTTAAAATATTTTTATTTAATTTATTTTAAAATCGATTGGCTGCCCATTTTACTACAGGGTAACTCTGGGTGGCTTACAATATTAAAAAGATAAAACTATACAAAGCCTGTATATGATATAAATAAAATATTATAAAGATCGAAATACTAAAATACTTGTATTTTGACAGAAAGCAACTTGGGGAAAAAACTATAAAAACATGCAAAACCTTTTCAGCCTATGCAGAATATAAAGATTTATACAGTATGCAGTTTACTTTTTCTAGAACAATAGCTTTACAGGTGGTTAAAATCCTATTTCAATTAAGCCAAGAAAATTCTAGCTATTCTCTTATACAAAGCTAATAAGTGATGGATAGTTCTACCTCTGGTTGGTTTAGCAGATCCTCAATCTAGTGCCTTCCAGATAGTGTGGGATTCTTCTGAAATTTACAAGTTCCCTCCCCCCCAATAATGAAATTAAAATTAATTGTACATCACAGAATTCTTACTGGGAAAATGGAGGAATTAGAAAAGGTGGACTGTAAATCTAACAAAATAATTCTAAATATCAACTTCAGTAAGATTGGAATATTTTAAGACAATATGGTTTCAATTTGAGATGGGCACTATAAGGCCTTCTAGATGTTGAAATTCCATTGGCATATCCAACAGTAAAAGATGAAGGGAGCTATAGAAATAAAAGGGAGGAAGCATATTATATTTGGGGTAATTGTACTCCTCTTCCAAATGAATATTAAAAGCTCCCTTTATGTTTCATGTGTTCATATACCATATCAAATCATAGAATATTTTTTTAATTTTATTATTAATTTAACAAGTATTAATGCTGCTTATTCCCAACTGACTTTGGATATCTTACAATTACATTGGCTTAACTCATACAAACTCAGCTGTTACCATATGTCAAACAGTTTATGGCTTTGTGTGATGTGAGATCTCAACCAATTATAATTTATTCAACAAGCATAGTTAAGGAAATAATTGTTTGGTGCAGTATAAACAACCCTGAGCTTTTTTTTTACAGTAATATTTCTGTATCATAGTACTGAAATTTTGCAAAAATCACCATTTTCAGAAGTGTACCTTTGTGTTGCTGGAACAAATTGAGTGCTTTAAGCTATTACTGTTGGGAAAAATAGGAGGAGGGAATGCTATTTATGCCATCTTGAGTTCTTTAGTGAAACCGGGTATAAATCATCACTGATTTCACCAACCACTTTTCTTATAACCTTTGAAGGTCAAAAATAATAGTAGTAATAAGTATGGCCTTTCACTGCTCTGAGTTGAATGCAATATGTGAATTAAAACACTGGCCTGGTTTATACATTGAATTATTATATTATGGACCACGTCGTTTATTTAAACATTGTGCAATAAATAAGTTGCAATTCCTCATAGAGGGTTCACTTAACATACCAATCAAGTTATTTTGATACAGTGTTTTGGTGGCCAAGCTCCTGGATCAACACAGTCTGTCTAGCCTGGTATTTTCTCTATTCTAATTGCCATAGTTTTTTCACAGCTCTTCTAAACTGAGATCCTTTAAACTGGAGATAACAATGATTCAATTTGTAGGCATGCATAAAACATAAGGGCCCAGCAGAATCAAGCCTATTGGCTGATTTTATCCAAATTCTGTATAGCCAGCTAGAAACAGTTTTGAAATTCACAAATCTGGACTTCCTGGTGATAGTCCCTATGTGTACTATAAGTCCCAGGCGACCCTGCAGCAAATTGGAAGACCGGGAGAACAGGAAGAAACACTGAGACTGGCTGTAAAGCACTGTGAAACAGTATATAAATCTAAGTCCTATTGCTATCAGGATCATTTGTGATATGTCGACTCTCAGTGACCATATAGATTTTCTCCATAACAATCTGTCCCTAACCGGATCCTTCAGGTTTTCCAGTGGTGCATCTGTGTGTGTGTGTGTATGTTTATATTTAAATACTGCGTATATATTTATATTTATATTATCTAAAGCTTCCTCCTTCCATTATGTATTCAAGATGGACAGCGATTAATATTTATATGTTACTTATATGTAAGGGTGTAGGTCTATACATATGTTGTATATAGTATGTTTAAATGTGTGTTATGTATGTGTACACTTTGAGAGCAAGCAACTAAATTTCATTTTTAATGTGTGCCATTGTGCCCACAGTAAAAAATGACAATAAAGATTATCTATCTATCTATCTATCTATCTATCTATCTATCTATCTATCTATCTATCTATCTATCTATCTATCATCTATCATCTATCTATCTATCTATCTATCTATCTATCTATCTATCTATCTATCTATCTAACTCAGTGGTTCTCAACCTTTTTAATGCTGCGACCCCAACCGATCGTAAGTCGAGGACTAAACCGGTTGTAAGTCAAGGACTAAACCGGTCGTAAGTCGAGGACTAAACCGGTCGTAAGTCGAGGACTAAACCAGTCGTAAGTTGAGGACTACCCAACCGGTCGTAAGTCGAGGACTTTCCCTGCCTGGGAGTGCCGCGCATGCGTGGTTCCGCCCCCTGCGCCAGCCGAGGCATAGCTGGCAAGCGGCAGAGACCGAGCAGGCCGACCACCAGCTGGCCCAGCCCAAGGGAGGTAAGGCACCCGCCAGAAAAGGGGAAAAAAATGGCGGACAAAAAAATGGCAGCCTTGCTTGGCGACCCCCGTGAAATGGTCGATCGACCCCAAATGGGGTCCCGACCCACAGGTTGAGAACCACTGATCTAACTAACTAATTAACTAACTAACTACCTACCTACCTAACTACCTAACTAACTATCTAACTAACTATCTATAGTTAAAGAAGATGTCTATGTTGTAATTGACTCTGGAGTCTGTATTACAAGTCCATTAAGGAAGAACACAGCCATTGGCAATAAACATTATGTTATGACTCATTATGTAAGTGTGGCTCACTGGTCTTGTTTAAAGATCTGATGGCAAACAATGCTGTGGTACAGAAGTACCATTTTATCCCATCATTATTTTGCATCCATGCAAGGTGTATGAATTTTGTTAAATTAGATGCCATAAAAAGTTTGTGGCAAACTGAATTGATACCATTGATCCGGGCGGCAGAGGTCTTTTCCAGGCCTCTGGAGCCCGGATCGGGCCGCAGGGGGCTGTGGATGCGTCCCCTGGCCTCAGATCAGAGTGGTAGCAGGATCCGCGGTAGAGAGGAAACAGACCTTTTCCAGGTGAGTCCCGCGTGGCAGGAAGGGAGGGGGAAGCATGAGGTATCTTAGTGGGTCAGGGAGGCCTTGGGGGCCTGTTCCATCAATAGGCCCTCCATGGCCTTCCCTACTCTGAGATAACTTGTTTGGTTAACGAGCCATGTGCGTTTTAACGAGGAAGAGAGTGATCTCTCCAAAGGAACGAGATTCACTCTACGAGTTTTCGAGTTACGAGTGGAATGGGCAGACTCCATTACACTTGTAACTCGAGGACTACCTGTAAAGCTCTGGCTTGGTGAAAGGAAGCTGCCCAGGGAAGTCGGGGGCATCGAAGGTTGACCCAGAAAGAATTCCACGGCCCTCTTCTCTGCCTTGGTTCTTGGGGCTCCCCCCCCTGCTGCCACCTGTCCTCACCCCCGTGTTGGCCACCAGGGACCAGAACTGACTCCTGGAGCGAATCTCTTCAAGGGACCAGGCGCGCTCCCAAAGCCTTGGTCGCTCTGGCTCCGGAGGAAGCCTCTGTGTCATCAGAGGCGGAGGAGGACGAGGTGGCAGAAGACATGCTGGCTTCAAACAAGCGCCCTCTCAAAAGCCGCGGCAATGGCGTCCGTCAGCTGATGCTCACGTGGTCTGCGCCTTGGAAGCTCCCTAAAGCGGTTTCTTCTCTCCTCCCCCCCATTCTGTAAAGGGCTTTTGACTGGAGCCAGAGCTTTGCGTGAGTTCTGCCACCTTTTTTTTTTTTTTTTTTTTTACAAAAAAAGCATTGAAGTTAGGAATTTCTATAATCAAACTTCTCTGACAGTCGCTCCCAGTCAAGCCTCCATTAGATTTATTGAAAGAAAAGGAATTTATGTTACAAAGTCTTGGCAAGTAGATATAGGTACTTTAGCCTTATTAGTAAGTATGATAAGGCAAAGCTTCTTTAATTTCTCTGATCTTCTTTGTAATTGCTCTGAGAGCTGAGAACGGAGAGCTCAGCTATCTGAGAATATTGAGAAGAATGCATAGATGTTTCTGCTCTGCAATACAGTATTTTGCATACAACTTGCAGATTCTGAATGAGGGGATGTTAAACAAAGATTACTTGTACTATTAAAAATACTCATCCAGTTTAATTAAACTGGCCCTTCAGACATCCTTGCCACTCTATTATAAATCACTCTGAAATGTATCA